TATGATATGGGCTCAAATCTCGAAAATCGATTGTATCGCCTGGCTGTCCAGTATGTGGATGTGAGTGTGAGTATGATTGAAATGAATATCCACACTCACACGCACATCCGCATCCACACCCACCCGCACACCCCACACTCACACCCACACACAACACTCAAAGCCCGACACTCATCCCACCCACACCCACACCCACACCCACCCACACCCACACCCACACCCACACCCACACCCACACCCACACCCTAATATTAATACAATGATTTTTAATATATGGAAAGCACAAAGCAATAGCACTTATTTATGGCAATTTATCTGGAAATCAATAGAATCCCTAATATGTATCGATTGTGAATTAGTTATTATAACTGATGGATTCGATAATGAATCAGATGAAGAATTTAATGGTCCAACTGGTTTCGATGCACTTATGTCAAAATTAAATACTCGTAATAAATCATTACCAAGAGTATTTGCTTACTGTGTATCAGAAGACTGTGAAAACAAAATCGGAAATAATTACAAAGAATTGTCATTAGCATCAGGTGGATTTTTTGTCATAGAAAAAATTATGATGAGTGTAGTGATATACTAAATCGACCACATGCAATACGATTAAAACTTAAAAGATATTTTCAAAACGAATATTTTAAATTATTAGAAAAAGGAGAAGTCCGAGAATTAACATGGATTAATTAGGATGAGTGATAAGATTTTTTTTTTTTTACTAGGTTCATGCTGAAATATTTCTATAAATAAAAAACAAAAAAGCAGATTTCTTTGTGCTTGTCAATGTATTCGAATAAAAGTAAAATATTATCAGCAACTGCTTATAATATATACGACGAAATTTCGATTTGTGAATAACTACGTACAGTCAATATGTGTCCAATTTCAGAATTTATTTCCATCAGATCTAAAAGAAATCCTTAAAAATACTCGCTTAACTCAGTAGACAAATGTCAGTTATTTTGATCATCCCTTCTGAATTTTGTTTTGATAATGTCCTCAATTAGCAAAAAACAACCGATTTTCTTTCAAATTATTGTACGAAAGAATTTTTCTCAACATATACAACATCTGTAATGTACATCTGATGAAAAGCATTACTTAACGAATTTGCATTGAAATAGCATCCATATAGACAAATGCAGATGTTTTGTGGCTGAATCTCAAAAGATAATAATTGTGAAAATTGAATTGAGGATGATCTAGTATGCATAAGTAACATTGACTTCCTTTATATTTATTGTAAGAAAGAACATTAGACAACAAATAAAAACGTTAACATTTCTTTGAATTTATTTTCCTATGTCAAAGCATAAATATTCAATCTCTCTACTTTTTATTCTCTGTGAGTCTAAAATCCGCCATAACTATTGTTTATCAGATCTAAATGTAAATTATGTAAAAGTTTGATTTCAGACCCACGCTTAAAAGTAGTTACACTCTAAAGTCAGATGATAGGTGTACCGGCAAACTGAAGGAGTAGTTTTATCGTCATCCTCGGTCATGATGCTTATTGACTACTCCATATCTCCAGAATGTCTCTACTTCACAATACAACACACGCGTATGTATGAGAGAGAGAGAGATGAACACATGAAATAACAATAAAGATAGGATAAGGAGAATAGAAGAAACGAGGGTCATAGAAAGGTTAATTAAAGGTTAGGTCAGCAGAAAATGACATTGATATCGACACAGTAAGGTCGAGGAATTTTAGAATATATTTATATATGACTAAGTTTAAACTGACTCAAGACGAATAATTCTTAGAATCTTACTGTCTTAGACTCTATGAATAGATGTCATCACTTCGAATGGAACTGAAAAAATTGGAATATTGACAAACATGACTAAGATTTGATTTGAACTATGCCTTCAAATTGTATTGTAACGAGTACAGGAATCAAAGTTGCTTGTCAACATTTAGTATACACTCTTGAATTAGAAAAAATTAAAATAAATGATCGTGAATTTATTTACAAATGATAAACAATAACAGAAAAAAACTTTTGCATCCGTCTTGTACAAAATGCATAGAAATAATACAGAAAATGATGTGAATTTTGTCAATAGCTTAGTTCATATTAAGTGAGGCATTGAACTGAAGACATCCCAAGCCTGGTTGTTTAATTCTTGGTCCGACTGACAGGTTTATTCGTTTGCATGTGTGCACTTTTTGTGCTGCAATTTCGTTGAATGATTTGACCCACATTTGCATTAACCCTATCTGTATAGTAATGCAGATGTCGATATCGACCCATTGTAATGCCATCAAATTTTGTAACATTTGGTCCCAAATGTTGATACATAACCAGCCGAAAGTTTGTCCAAAGCCATTAATTTTCAATGTAGCCAACAAAGGTAGAGAAGATAAAAGATCGACAAGAAACTCTATGTGCCAATCATTGAAATCAAGATCGAGACAACGAACATGATATTGCGGTTTAATATGTATAGGTACGCTGTTGTCTACTTTATAACAAAGTTGATCAATTTGTATACCATGAAAATCATCAGATACGTAAACAAGTTTGGTTGAAGGAAAGATCAATTTGACTGATGAGTGACGATAGAATGTATACGAACGTGAGTTTGCGCGTTTCAATAGAATGATTCGTTGGAGAGAAGGATGACATAATGAAGTTTCGATCATTTTATGACCGGTCGTAGTTAATTTTGAACCAACTAGTGACAGTTGAAAATTGATCAATTGAGACAGTTTGCAAATCTAAATAAACACAGCAATGGAGAAAAAAAAATAAAATGTTTTACTCAAATATAACATAACATTGTATGTGCAGAAGTTTCTCTTTGTTATATATTTTGCTATAAAAAATGTTTTTTCATTTTTCTTTATTTTTATGAGAAATAAAGATTTATATTTTTAGGCATTTCTGTGTTCGAGTTCATATATTTGTATTCAATTTCTTTGACTTCAGCATCAGTTATTGACATTTTATCTTACCTGCTTAACCATATTGAGACATTCTTCTTCTCGTTCATTGCCATGGACGATGGAAAGTGATTTAAGATTAGAGAATATGGTAATTCGAATAGCGATATATTCGATGTGAAGCGAAATGATTTGATTGGGAAAATAATTTCCAAGGAGGAAAGGCATTTGACGATCAAGATACAGATGAAGTCGTCGACGTTGATCAAAAATACACGAAGTTATGAAAGGACTGAGATTGAAGAAGGATTGAAAAATTTCTTTTGTATTGAAATATTCAAAAAGATCGAGAATCAGCTCACCCGACAAACATTCAAATGTCGAACAACGACCTTTATTGTAGAAATTCAGATAATAAGTTGATATTTAGTCAAAATGGAATCAACTCACTTTGTTCATGAGTTATCTTGAATCGTTTTGATGGACGATGATCAATACTTTCTTTCATGTTTTCAAAATCAATGGTGAAACAAGTATAGTTACACGTCGAAAATATTGATGTCTACAGAAAGGACAAGTATTATATCATATCGCTTTTTATATTCATTCAGTGACCGTGAACAATGGAACATATATTTTCTGTTTCTGTTCGTTTTCCTATTGGATAGCGAACCTTTCTATCCATTGGAAACAAAAGGAGAAAACAAGGTCAGGACAGTGAAAATAAAAGGTCATAAGCGGTTTGTTTCTTTGCATAAATATGATTCGACGAAGGATGTGGGTTACCAGAATATTCACAGATCGCACCCATACTCATCTATACTGCATAAAAGATTTTATTTAATTAAAATAAGAATTAAATTGGGTCTATCAACATATAGAATACAAATTATCATTGAAATTAATTTAATATTCAAGAAGAGACATTACTATTATATCTAAATGACAATTGCTTGTCAATAATGAATAAGGAAACGAAATTGTATAGAACATCTCATATCTAGATTTATTAAACAACGAAAAAATCAAAACATAAAAGAAAAAAAGGAATGTGAATTTCGTGACTATGACTAACCACACATGAACAGTACAATATATTGAAATCAAACAGAAAAAGAAAGACAATAGAAATATAAAGGATATATAAATTGTTTTTGTTTTTGAAAGAATCATTTTCGTATATCCTTTATTCTTTGCTTTCTTCGATAATATGATATGACTAAAAAAAAATGCATATTTCATAAATAATAGCATTAACATCTAGAATCTAATTGAAATATTAAAATTTAAAAAAAAAATAACAGGCAAAAAGTTCATTTGAATTCAGTCAAACCAATTAAAATATTAAATATCCAACGTACTTATAGATTAGTTGAACTTGATTAGTATTGAAATATTTTAATCAATGCTTCTCGATTGATATATAAATCTAATTAAAATAAAAATAAAATTAATAACTGTGAAGATAAATTAATCATATTCAAGTGATATTGATTAAGATAGGGTGTATGGATGTGCAGGTTGCTGTCTTCTCTTCTTACATCCCCACCCGTACTCGCACCCTTATTTAAATCATCTTAGTCACGTCAGTATAATTATCTTTGCTAATTGCGAACGACTTTTAACCAGAAGATCTTTGCTAAGTTTGATCAAAATGAGACATTTTTTCTTAACACTTTTTCTTTAATAACTTTTGGTTTTATTTCTTCAATTGTTTCTTAAACATCGTCTTATAATGATGATCTAATGACTTCATTTGACAAGTTCGTCATATCGAATAACAACAACATAGACTGAAAAAAGTATCAATCTGATAAATGTCAATAGGATCTGAAGAAATCAATGTCTCTGACACAATTATCAAAAAAAAAAAAAAACGTTAAAACATTGAATGACAATCATGAACATACTATGAGGATATTCAAAAATGGTATTGATCTTTCTTTTTAGTAGGAGTTTTGCTATAAGCAAAATAAATTTTTTGTTCTTCGCTCGATCTTGATGACGTAGGAAAGAATTTATTATTAGATTTTATTAATTGATAAAAAAAAGAGGTACGAAAAAGAAATAACAGTTTATCAAAATTGACTTTAAACAATCACAAACACGAATTTGGATCAAAATTAAATTTTTGTATACAATGATTCCCTTTATCGACAACATAGAGATTACTCTGCTGATCGAATGACAAACCTACGGGATAATGGAGTTGATTTGCTTGTCCTTCTCGTCTATTTCTACCGATAACGATACTACCTTGTGTAGCTCCTTTAGACCAACGCATCACTCGATGATTGTCGCAATCTGCCACATAGACAGTGCCTAACTGATCGACAACTATGCCGCGAGGATTGGACAATTGTGTCAGACTATTTCCTTGGCCTTGATCACCAGCAACAATAATGCCTTCTCTTGCATCTTTCGCCCATTTTATCACACGATGATTATCTCTGTCTGATACGTATACTGAATGATCTTGATCGACAAAGATATTGTAGGGCCCATTGAACTGATCGAGACGATCACCTTTTCCATTCCCACCTGCTATTATTGTTCCATTAGTATCTCCTATTTTCCATCGTCTCACTTCATGTTTACTGACATCAGAAACATAGAGATATCCATCATTATCTATTGCCAAACCCCGACAGTCAACATTTGAGATGATGATTTCTCCACTTGTACCATTTCGAAGAGGCCATCGCACTACTCGTTTATTACCACTATCGCAGATAATAAGAGAATCGTTTTCTTTGTCAACAATAACATCTAATGGATAGTTCAACTGATCATTTCTATTTCCTTGTCCACTTTCACCAGCAACCACTTGACCATTTGTTGCACCACTCTTCCATTTCACAATGCGATGATTGCATTGGTCTGCGATATAGATAGTTTGATCATCATCATCATCAATATATAAACCAAATGGAGAATTGAGTTGACTGACATCATTGCCATATCCATTTCCTCCAGCTATTGTGATACCATTCTGGATCCATTTCGCATTTGCACCAATATTCGGCATGGATAACAATACTAGAATGTAACGAAATTTTAAAACGAGAATAAATTCTTTTTGATTCAGATTGATATCATTACAAGAGAAAAAAAATCATTTTGAATAAACAATGAGTTTTATTTCTTAAAATTCGATAGAGAGAGAAATTATCTTCTCAAAACAATTTATCATGAAAAGTTAATGTTTTACTTAATCGGGAGATTAATTTAGAAAATGTATTGATTTTGAAATACTGTTTGAATATAACAATTTCTTCAATTTGGCGTTCAAAAGTATCCAACATAATATCGTTTCTTTTTTTCTATTATTCGAAGTAATTCGATTATTTATTTTCATTTTTTCATAGTTCAACTAATTCTTTTATGTTTATCGATAACCTAAATATACAATCGTCCTTTTTGCTTAAACTCATACAATAATCTTTCCAATTTTTTTTTATTGAAAATATCGAACTAAAAGGCATAAGTTCAATTGATATTCATATGATGATATTAAATATTTCAATGGATCATTGAGTAGTTGATCAAAATTAAATCTTTAATGTGATGATTATGCATATCTTAAAATGCATAGGTTAAATATTGTTTTGATGAAATATATACGTATTCAATGCATGTATGAGACTCAAAAATTTGTTCTATGATCATTTATTATACGAAAAAATAAGAGAAAATATTCTATTCTTCTACATTGAAACAAACAAAATTCGCAAAATCTTTATTGAACAACTGTGAAACTTTGTTGACATGAACTGTCTAATTAATCTTTTGAAAAAGAAAAACGAATTTTCTTTCCGAAAAAAATAACACAATGCCATAGCCTTTTATTGAAGTAATAATCATTTCGAAAATGCAGTAAATTTAATTGAAATCATCGAATGTTAGTTCTATCTTTGAAAACTATTCTAAATTAGTTTTAATCAAAAACAAAATCTTCTCCTGTTTGATAGATGCAGTAAGTATAGGATAATCTATATCACTTTGCTATAATGTAATGGATAAATTAAACAACTTAATCTCTTTTCAGTAAGACATAAATGATAGTAAGAGTAAATAATAAAGGGAGACATTTCTTTACAAAGTAATTATTTCTATCTTGAAATGAACTATGACTGATACACTTACCCGATCTCACATCGACAGAAATTTTGTTAATAAGTAATCTAGAATCTTCTCGAAGATGAATATTCGATGGTTTATTGAGTTCTTTCTCTAATTGCTTTAATTCTTCATTCCAATGATGTAGCTCTGTTTCATAAAAATCATTTTTTTCACGACTTTGTTTTAATTGATTAGTTAACTTATTTAGATCAATCTCGATTTTTGTAATATGTCCAATAGTATGTTGAAGTAAAATTTGTCTTGCTTCTTCTGCTGTTTGTCGAATTTTTTTGATTGACTGACGTTCCCAATCATTAATTTGTTGTATTAATGGATGTTTTTGTGGATCAATTGTTTGTTGAGTAAGTTTTTGTCGAAAAAGATTACGACTAACTTCAACTTTATCAAATTGTTTATTGAGTTCTTGTCGATGATCTGATGAATGATTATAACAAAATTCTTGTAAACATCCTGCACATCTCATTGTCGCCATATTTTTTCTACATGTAATACAACATTTTTTATCGAGTGCTTTTGCCATGAGTTTGATACCTTTTTTTTGATGCGAGGTTTGATTAAATGAGATTGTGCGAGCGAAAAAGAAAAAAAAGTAGGTAGTCGTGTTTCACATTCTTGTGTAAATATAATGTCACAATGAAATGAGCCATTGTGAATAAAATTTCAACGTGAAAAAGCAACAGAAAAGATTTTTTTCTTATGAAATTAAAAAAAAGCATTTTCAATGTTGTTGGTAGTCAAGTTCATTTACTTCCATTTGATTTTTGTTCAATAGAAATTTAGATTTTGATAAATCTTGTCATAAAAAATACTGCCGTTGGTTAATATCAACTTGATCTAGCTTTTAATCACGAGGAGCCATTCCCAGGTGTTCCGCTCCGAGAGTGTGGGTGTGTGACTGTGGGTGTGGGTTTGGATTTTGCTGTTCACCCAGATTGATACTCACACCGACATCCTCAACGCGAAAAAAATCATTCTTACCATTCTTGGTCTACTACAACATATGTACGACTCGGAAATATGCAATTGTCAGAAGATATACTATGACAACAAGGCTATATCTTACTGAAAATCACAACTCTATATCTTGAATTCACTGTAAGATATCTGAAAAACAAGGTTAATTGTCAGATGTATGATCAGTATCGAAAGCATCTATTGAATCTTATAAATTGAGGGAATTATGAAATTATCTGTCTCGAAGTACAAGACGTAAGCTTTGTCGAGAAAAGCGTGTGGGTGTGGATAACAGTGAACAGAAAAAGCGATCAAGAACAATTTCCAGTTGCCAAGTCGCTTTTGAATTGAGACTATGCACGTTATGTAGGCTCTAATGAGCTATGAATATCCTAAAAAAAAGTTCGTGCGTCTAGCTTATTTCAGTCGAGATATTTAACTTTTATGGCATTTTTTAGGTAAAAGCCGTGGTCTCCCTCAGATTTACCTGAAGAATGAGTTTTCGAATTTCGACTTGAAACTTTGCCCAGAGAAAGGTCTCAATAAGACTAGTTTATTCTGAAAGTTTTGAATTTTTGGGTTCCTTCTATCGTAGGATACAACTAAAAGAAAAAAATATTCTTTTCCACATCACTTATAACACAAAATATTGAATGTTCATATTTAAGGATAGGAGCAACCGATAAATTTGAAACTTTCAGGATTAACTAGTCTGATTGAGACCTTTCGTTGCACAAAGTTTCAAGTCGAAATTTGAAAGTTGATTTTTCAGGTGAACCTGAAGGAAAACACGGTGTTGTGCTACAAAATGCCAAATATCTCGACAAAGGTTCAATGGCGTATCTTTTCGCATCCATCGAAGATAGATGATAATATGCTCTACCAAGTAACAAACTAAAACTTGAATTAAAGTTCCGGGAAAATCCGGGAAACGAATTGCATTACTGGTTAGCAGCTATTTTTCACTATACTGAGCCTAAGTTTTTCATTTTATTTGACCATAAAGAACTTCAGAAAGTTTCAATGTCCTGTAATATACAGTAAATATATAACACTGTATAACTATATAATAACTAATGAATATAACTAGATCCTCAATTTAAAACATACATTTCAATTATATGGTCCCATTAATGATATTCACCTATTTTACTCACTTTGCAGTACCTGCTGCTTGACAGATACTCACTATCCAGCAGTATCCAGTATGTACTTAGATGCAGCACTATAGTAGCTTCAATGTTAGCTATGATATGGGCTCAAATCTCGAAAATAGATTTTATCGCCTGGCTGTTCACTGTGTGGTTGTGGGTGCGTGAGTATGGATCTTCACTTCAATCATACTCACACTCACACTCACACCCACACCCACCTACATTCTATTTGATAGGTTTTTGAGACTTTCAAAAGTGAGAATTGTTTATGAAATCAGAGTATTTTCTCGATTAAAATTTATTTTACTTGCAAAAAGAAAAAAAAGAAAGAGGGACACTATGAGATCAAGTACCCATATTGTTTTTAACTCTCCCAAACAAATTTGCTGCAGTCACAATTGGCTGGCTGTTCACATCGGCAGAAGAACCAACATTTGAAACGACATATCCACCATTTGAAACATTTGGCTGTGCATTGCAAATCGATACCGCCAAGAGCATTGTGAACGAAAAGATCGTTGGAAAGATCATCCGATGCTTTTGCAGACTCGTTGGTAGCTGATCGAAGACTATGAATTGTGATCAAAACGACAAGAAGGAAGATGATGAGATGTTGATGCATTGAATGGTTATCACTTGTTTTGAATGTAAATGAATATGAATAGTTATACGAAAAATAACCAACAGTGAATGTATGAGGCTTTTTATATAGCATCGTACACTTCCTCTTTAATAATATGCATTCTTGACATTAAGTCAGAACTTTACTTTTTATGCGACGTTTCTTTCTATTTTTAGTTCAATACCAGTATTTCACTTCCTTCTTCACATTGATGATGACACTTACCCATACTTACTATTGCGTCTTTTTTTTTCGATACAATCGAAGAAAAGAACATAACACACAGGCAAACATATTTTCAGTTAATATTTGTCTTCATTATTTGATTTAACTTTATCAACAATTCTGTTTTAAACTATAATTGAATACGTCAAACTTTGATTTCTACGAACGGGTATAGATGTGAGGTATGGATGTGAGTTGCGGGTGTGAGGAGTGCCAGAATTCTCACAAGAAAAATTTAAGAATTCTGTATTGTGCATACATTTAACATTATTTATATCTACAATCTCTTTATATTAATAAAGTTCTTATAATAATGTAGTAAAACACTAATAATTCTACTATGAATTCTGTTCATTGCACCAGAATTGTGTCAGAATTCTGATTTCCTAGAAGAATTATCATTCATCATCTATACTTATCTCTGCATGTAGATCAAAACTCTGCTTAGAATTTTGTTTTACTAGGAGAATTTTGATAGAATTCCGACTTTCTAGCAAATCTATTGTTCATTACATTCGCTTATTCATAAAAGAATTGAATTTTTAGTTTAATAACAATGCTGACGAGTTTCAAGAGGATCGTAATCAATATATTTAGAAAAGTTCGTCATGAAAAACAAAATAATGATTTGAATCATTTTGATGTTCCGCGTGCTGAGGAAAATATCACTCGGCGTCATTTCAATTTTTGTCATGAAGAACAATATAATGATTTAAATCATGTTGAAATTCCTCATGTACAAATAAATATCAATGAGAATAATATCAATCTTTGTCATGAGAAATACCATAAATCATGTATCTACATCCACACCCGAAGGATGTTAATATTTGTCATTTAGATATAGAGAGAAGACTACATCGTGAAATACGATTCTTCTAGGGACGTAGAATTCTAATTAAACTCTGTTATAAAAAAAGTTCTCAGCATAATGTTGATTTAGATGCAGGACATCAATATGATTTGAATCCTTATGTCATTTTTCATGACAAGGGTTGACATTATTCGAATTAATATTTTCTTTTACATGCAGAATTTCAGCATGATTTAGTTTATGTATCAAAAAAATGAATATATATGTACAATCAATAATTTATATAGCAGAAAATTTTCAGTCTTTTTAACGATTATTTTCAATCATTGAAACTGTTTGATGAACAGTTAACAGTACAACAAAAAGTAAAGGTACAAAAAAATAAACATTAACACAAAAAGCAAAAAAAAAAGAATATGTCTATGTGGTATAAATCAAAGATGATATAGACGACTTCATGAGACATATGTACACATATAAATATATAATATCAGGAAAATATTAATACCATAAAATGCTAAATTTTAAGACAATATATATACAACATCATGTAATAGAAATATCATAAATAGTAACATTATGTAAAATACTAATATTATAGCATCATGACAAATAGAATCTAAAATATTAATACCATAAAATGCTAAATTTCAACACAATATATATATGTAATATCAATATCATAAATACTAACATTATACGACATACATACATATAACATCATGAAAATATTAACATTATGTAAAATACTAATATCTTGGTATTATGACATATATAATCTAATAATAATCTATAACATCATAACCAATATGAATTCATATGTAATTAACAAACTTAAAATTTATACCTTATGAACATATTCGTTTTTCGTGTTAATGTTGGTTTTTGTTTTTTGCATTTTTAGTTTTTATTCTACCGCTATTATCCATCAAATACTTCCAACGATTAAAAATGATCGTTAAAAAGACCGAAAATTTGCTATTATATAAAACTTATTCTACATATATGTTCATTTGTTGAATACATGATATGACATACGAATCTCAACATATATTTTTTTAAATTTCAATACATAATACTCTATGGAGTTGAACATAAAACTTGAGTGATATGTACTTATTAGGAAATGAATTATCTCGTAATTAAAATTAATCTAATTAATTTTTACATAGTGTTACGATTTCATTATGTTATTCTTATTATAATTTCATAATGAAAATGGTTATACATGAGTTAGATTATTTAAGGTTTGTTAAGTTCGCCATAAAATGTCAATTTTGTGATTTAAAGTTCATTAGATAGAGCAAAGTGCCTACTTTCGAGTGCCCTATAGTTGATTCATTTTATGATGAGATTTAAGGATATTACATAGGGTTTTCTGAATCTTCCATAGAGGAAAATAACGTTTCTTCTAAAAACTTTTGATTTTTTATCAAAATAAGATTTTTGATTTTTACGTTTCTGTGTGTCCTAGATTTCTCCGCCATTTTAACCGCTAGAAAGTTAAATTTGGTGTCAAAATGAAGGCAAAAATTAGCTCTGCAACTTAACAGAGTCGGATTTTTCAATTTCTTCATTAATGTTTTAAAAAAAAACTAACTGTTCTAAACCTACACTCCTTGCGTTTTTTATACTTCGTCAGAGAAGTTTTCTCGAAAACATAAGCTAAGAGAAGATCGAAAAATCGAGCCCTG